GATGCTACGCGGTAAGGCCCTTTCACTTTTGGTGCTTCTAGTTCCATGTTCATGCAGAATCAATTGTTCTCATGGTCTCTCTGTAGTACTGGTGCTATAAAGAGTCTTCTTGATCCTCTATCTGTCAACTCTCTGAGTGAGCTTAGTTTGATTTTGTAATATTTATTACTGACTATCTTGTTGGATTTATTTTTCCCAATTTATGGTATGCAGAATCTCCATTTAGGGTGTGTTCTTCTTGTACATCTCTTGAATTTACCCTTTTATTAATGAAATTCTGCTTATTCTTCAAATATATATATATATTGACCTCGCAGCAGGACCCCCAACATACCATACCACCACAAATTCTATTTATGTAAAAATTGTGTTATTTCTTTTTACCCATCCATTTAAGAATCATTCTTGTTATCTTTTGAAATATGCATAATTTATTTACTCCTCAAAGTTTGTCGGGTAGGGTTTCAAGATTTAGGAGCTAGGGAATGCATTTCAAATTGCATTCCTATGTTTGGTGAGTGCACTTTTGGGAATGCAATTATGGACTCATGGATATGGACTCACCTTGGGAAATTTTTTCCCCCACTTAGAAAAACAATTTATGCAGTTTTTTTGGATTAACTTACCCATGTTATTATTTTTAAATACTACTTTTGACAAACGAGCCTAAATGTATAATGAAAATCGATGGACTAAGTATAAATCTTGTTAATCTTATTTGCTGTATGGTTAATTGTCAATCCTGCAATTTTTATACATAGGGAAGGGACTGGATGGTATGCATTCCAGCATTTCTAATGCATGTAATTGGATTAATGAACCCAGGCACTAATGCATTTGGAGAGACGATTAAAGGGACGGAAAAAATAGAAAGAAAGAAAGAAAGTTTTGCCATCCAATTGTGGCACTAGTTTGATATATCCCCACCCACTGCATATATTTGACAAAGAAAAAAAATTCTACATCCAATCGATTCAAGCATTTAATTAGCTTTCAACTGGAAGGAAAAAGTAGCCGGCTGGAAACAGGCTTTGGTGGAGACAAGCATCACGGTTAAGGCACTAATGCATTTGGAGAGACGATTAAGGTAATGAAGATTAGGAGTAGGAGGAGGTAGAGTGAGAAGTTACACCCACATATCTAGGAGTTTTCATGACATCAAGAGGTACTATTTTTCCAAGATGTAGGATATAAAAGGTATGATGGAAAACAAAGTCTAGTATAATTAAAATCATGGCTTGTAGATAAGTGATCTCATATTCGAACTCCTATGATACCTTGATAGTGTGTGTGAGAAACTCCCCTGCCTCAATATCGCTTGTATAAAAAATGATCATAATTTTAATATTCTCTTTTAAAGTAAGAGCCCAAGAAATTGAAATGGACTTCTCGAATATCATCATCCATAGCTCAATTAATCATAAACCCAAGATCACGAAAATGTCTAAGCAGGCCATAGCTCAATTTTAATTTTATTTTCTTGTATTTGTGGGCCTCAAGAGAATTGCAAGTAAAGGCACCAAAAGTGTTCTCCCGACCCATACATGAAGGCACACTACTAAGGATTTCTGCAAATCCTTATGATCAATTGCTAGCTTAGTACTTTTGGTTTTTAACTGCATATCCAATCTTTCCCATTATACTTACATGGATTTTTAAGGCAAGAGTCTTCACTAATTGGCACTGATAGTCTTCCACATCATCTCACATATCGTACGTCTCGGTTAAAACCTCTGATTTTTTTGCTTTTTCCTTGTCAAAAAAAATATGAACCATTTCTACAACTAGCTTGTAGACAAGAATTTGAAGGCCATTGTTAGAAGGTTCTCTGTCGCATTTATGGCATCTTTTGGAGTAATGTATATATATTGGCAATTAATTCGAGCGTGCGTGGTGAAGGAAAAAATTCCCAGCAGAGCTCAGCATAGCTTAAGTTTGAAGCTAACTCTTTCTGTGAGTTGGGCCAATGCAGTGGCAAGTCTTGTAGTTCAGTTAGAGAACCACATCTTGTGGTTCAACTAGAACCAGATATTTTGATTAGGGGGGGGGTTTACTTAACAAGTCAACTAATGTTGAGAATATTATCTGTTAAACCAAGTGAAGATAGTCTTGCGGCTGTTTTAATAGATTCACATTCAAACACTCAGAATATTATACACTGCAAGGGGCTTGTAGCTCGGTGGTTAACAGCATTTACTCTTGCACCTGAGGTCTTAGCTCGGCTGTTTCAAAATGTTGGTCTATTATAATGAAATCAGTTGAATGAAAGAGGAATAAGCCAAACTTGTTTGGTTACATTCACTTAACTCCTGCACACTCACCCGAGGGTCTGACTAAACCTCTTAATGAAATCACTTTTAAAAAATTGGTAAAAACAAGAAGATGATCTATTCAGAGGAACCCCGGCCGATATATGGTTGATGGAGAGAAACTCAAAGTTTTGTGTAACACAATATAATTGCTTAAAGAGAGAAGCTTTCTAACAATGTGTTGCTTAAAGACAAAAGCATTTGAAGGTCGTTGGATGTGCATCAGATAGCATTTATGTCTATCCTCTAGGCAAGTAATATTAGAAATGACGAAGAACTTGGGCAAGAAAAAATCCAAAACCAGATTTGTATGGCTTAAGCTTGAAGCTAACTTTTTCTGTGGGCAGGGCCAATGGAGAAGCAAGTCTTGTACTTCAATTAGAGAACCAGACATCTTAGTTAAGAGTGAAAAACGTGAACAACCCTCAAACAAACCCCTACACTTGAAAAGGCTATGCGAAAAGTTATTGTGTGAATCTAGACGGAGTAACCTAGAGACGGGAGATGTTATTTGCACTTTAAAATAAGACTTTATTTATAAATAAAAAAGTAATAAGGTTATTCTAAAAATAAATAAATTCTCGATATATTGATCAAACGCAAAATAATCTATATATATAAAGCAAAAGACAAAGAATGGTGAAACATTCAAAATACCAGAAAATGCCCTTGGTTAATGCAAACATTAAGAATTGAAATTATTAATTAAATGAGGATAATATGGTAAATTCACACTTTTTTATATTAAAAAAATTAAAATTAAAAGAAAAATAAGATAATGGATCCTATTTTTATGGAATACAACTACCCATTATTATTTTTAATTCTAAAATAAATTTAAATTTGTTATAAAAAAAAAAAACCTCTCGCAAGTGCGGAAGCGCGTGCAGAGAGGCTAGTAATAATTAAGGGAAGTGTTTGAAATGCACTTATACATTTGAAACTTCACCACATTATCTGAAAATTACAGTGTACAAAACATTAACCCCTTCTTAATTACCCTTTGGCCAAAGTGTTCGTTGAGGACATAGGCATTATATTGCCTGTATTAATGAAATATGTTGACTGAAATAGGAAGGAGACAAATTTGGTTATATCTCTTTCACCCGAGGTGATAATTTAGAATCTTATTTATGTGTATTAAGACAAGAATACTAGTCTCTTTTTCTAGTACAACTCAAGTACATGAGCATTGAGAGGCCTTTTGAAGTAAACCTTTGGCAAGAGCATTGAGATTCTTTCTCAATTTGAGATGTATATGATGAAATTGGGAAGAATAATATTCTAAGATGGTAATTTTCAAAAACTCTCCAACCATCTAATCAGTGTTGTTGTTTTCCAAAAGTTTAGAGAAAGAGAATATATGTACATGTTGAGAGTATACAAGTTTAAATGATATTGAGCTTTTTTTTCCCATTTCCAATTGATGTTGGGCTACTCACATTCTACGTGTTAGGCCTAACGACCATACATGCTCTTATGTCACTGAATATGAATTATCCACGTGTTTGGCATGAGGGAATGTGTGTTGAGAGTGTAAATCTTTACATAAGAGTTTAGTGATCTTGGGTCACTAATTAGTTTTAGATTGGATGATCACATTCTAAAAGTAAACATATCATTTAAACTTGATATAATAAGTAGTGATGTCCCAAGTATTTCTCCCAATAAAATCATGATTTTTGAGAAACTAGTTTAAAATGTATCTACATATCCACAAGCAGCCTTGCTATAGCACACAATTCCCATACCGTACAATTAGCAGCTGGTTTTGCCGTTTTGAGTCTCCAGCAAGTGAAGCCCAAGTTATATATGTTAGTCTGTTTTTCTTGGTGGAACCCAGTTTAGTATCTCTCTTCGCCATGTAGCCCACGTGTCATGACGCCAACTCACCCCTAACGCATGCAGCTTGTACAACTCTCCACTTCTCCTCCCACGTTGCCTTCAAACCCTAACCCAGACCTCATCTTCAACTTCAAATTAGATTCCTTACCAATTTACATTACCCCCTCCCTTAATTCAAATACCAAAAGACTAAAAAACCCCTCACTTTTAACCCAGTAGGCCCCACCCATGCAACCCTTAATTAACCTATACCTTTCCCCTTTATATACACCATCCTCCTCCTCCTCCAGTAAGTGCTAGCTAGCTAGTAACCAAGCTCCATAGCTCACCTCTTTCTATTATCTCTCTCCTTCCTTCTTCTTCTTGCCTTTCTAATTTCTTCCCCATCTCAAAAAACAAAAAACCAATAAAACAAAAATGTTTAACCCTTACATGTCCTCAGCTCAAAGCTCAAGCACCACCCCAAACCTCCCAATCACCTCAAATACCCCAATTACTCCATCAACGGATCCAATCCCAATTAGGTTCCCCATGTCACCAGTTCTTGGTGCATGCTTCAGCTTCCATACCATTCAGTCTGGTGATTCCAGCAAGTACTCATGTACTTCTTGCGACAAGGTCTTCTCCACCACTCAGGCCCTCGGAGGCCACCAGAACGCTCACCGCAAGGAGAGGAATGCGTTGTTTGCTAGCGAGCAACAGCGCGCTGCCGAAGAAAATGACAGGGACAGAGATGTCGTTTTGTCTCCAGACCCTATAAGATGGGCATACCCAGCTAGTTATTATTACTTTGATGCTGAAATCATCACCACCACCACAACCACCGACGTCAACACCAACAACAACAACAACAACAACAACAAGATGTGTGAATATGAGTTCTTCCATTTCATGGGAATGGCAGGGGATTGTAATCCAAAACAGGCTGGGTTCAGGTTTGGATCGTCGTCCGGTGGCGGTCATGGTGGTGTTTCTGGGTCTGGAACCAAGCGGCCTCCTGAAGGTGATGGTGATGGGGCTGTCCAGAAGAAGAAGGCTAAGTATTATGAGGAGGATGATGATTTGAAGGTAGTGATGCCTAGTGTGAACCTGAGCTTGGCAACAAGATGTGGTTGTGATGATCTGATTGATGAGATTGAGGGTTCTGATTCTGATTTAGAGTGGGAGGATGGGGAGTACATGTACTTTTATCAAGGTGGTGGTGCAAGTACTTCCAAGACTGAAGAGCTGGACTTAAGTCTCAAACTCTAATAAGTCAATATTAGAGTGTTTGTCTCTCTCTTTCCTCACATGATCAATATGTATCCATATCTATGCTTTGCTTTATCTAGATAATCTAATTTTTTTTTCAAAATAAAAGAGTTAGGGAGCTGGTATCGGCACTCCAAAATTGATTTCCTCGACCTCAGATCTATGTACACACTCTGCTTAAAGAGTGTAGCAAGGGAGGTTATTTTTGAGGTGCGACTAATAATTCCCTAAAAAGATTTTAATGTATATTAGGGCAGGTAGTGAGGGAGAGAGAAGAGTAGCAGCTTTAGCTTAGCTTTGTTCTTTATTTTTTCTTGTTGTTGTCGCCAGTGATGCTTACCGATGATGTATTAGGAGATTTGATCTCCTCAAATGAATTCAAATTTGTAATTGTGTAAGACATCATAGAATATATGTTAAAACTAGCCTTCTTGTTTGTAACTGCTGTTTTCATCTTATTGATGTGCGTGTGAGGTTAGGGGGTTCTTTTTCTTTACTTATGTAAGTTCATTAATAGGCAAGCTGGATGCAGTTCTTCTTACTGGCAATCAATTAGCAACGGTAGCTAGAAGAGTCTTGGACTTTTCTTTTTCTTTTTGTTAACTCCGCCGAGCAACCGAGCAAAAGAGATGCATGGCATTGGCAACCCTTTCTGTGCTGGCTGTCTATTATTTTGCCAAGTCAGAATTTTGTCGTTTGGTCTATTAGATCTAAGTGGAATGTTCTCTCTTTGTTCAGAAAAATGGTTTTCATTTCAAGATTAATTATAACCACATTTCGCTTCTGGGATTCTACTCTGGCTGTGGTTCCTGAAATTTCATCCATTTTTGGTAAATACTGGCTCTTGATGTTTATCTGAAGCTTTCCTTTTTTCGTTTTTCACTTTTTTTTAATGATTATCAATAACTTGCGTCTCGTCTCGAGCCTTTGATTGGAAAAAATGTGTTAAGTTTATGTAGAAGATTTATATTTCTATAGTTTATAACAATATACAGACAGTCTTTCTTTGTTGGTCGAAACAATAGGGTTTTGGCCATCACAGTACCATTTGGCGCCTAATATAGCGATCTTCGTCACCTTAACGATACCGGATCATTTTCGTCACTATAACTATTTTTGCAATAAAGGGAAAGTTCCTTGCAAAAAAAATTGACATCAAATATGGTTATTATCATTCCTAGGTTCAACCTAGAAATCCCATCTGAAAGTTTGATGATTCAAGTTTCAACTATGGCCAAAAAAATATTTGAAAAAAAAAACTGTGTGACACTCTTCGATGGTATGGCCCGCGTATCGGCGAAATGGACATTCCAGCTAATAGTTAAATAAGGTTCTTGATTGAATCAAGTAGTCCTAAAATAGTTTCATATTGTTTGTGATAAATGTCATATGTGATCTTATGTTATATGATATATTTCACTTGGTGTATGATAGGTATCATGTGATGTATATTAGTGTCCAACACAATGCAACAAACGGCAGAATAATGAATGCTTTAAAAGTTTTAGATGCACAATATATTAGTGTCGAACAGCTATACGACATCGCACTCACAAAATAATTAATGCTCCAAAAGTTTTCGGTACAATATTTGTGTTAGATGCAATTTTGCAACGCTTTATACTTATCATGTATATCAAGTCTACTGACAAAATAGTTGATTCTCGATAAGTGTCAGATCGAGTATCATAGGTAATGAGACAACCTCTCGACAAAACAGTTGATTGTCCAAAAGTTTCTGGTGCATATCTATGCCGGAAGCAATGTGACAACATCTCGACAAAGTAGTTAATTCTCCAAAACTGTCAAGCATTATATTAGTGTCAGACGCAATGCAACAATGTCCCGACAAATAGTTGATTCTCCAAAAGTCTCAGTATATTTCTGTCAGAAGCAATGCGACAACATCCCGACAAATTAGTTAATTCTCCAAAAGTTTCAAGCAGTATATTAGTGTCAGACGCAATGCAACAAAGTCCCGACAAAATAGTTGATTTTCCAGAAATTTCAAATGCAGTATATTAGTGTCAGACGTAATACGCCAACTGACAAAATAATTAATGCTCCAAAAATTTGAGCCACAAGTCTATTTTGTACAATGTTTCACTCAGGAAAACATGTGCTTATACTCATACGAGGATTCTTAGCTCAAGTTAAATCCCACCATGTTGCTACATATTTTTCGCGAGGAAAATTCTATTGCACACAGATACTCTTATAGAAATTGGACAAAAACTTACTGATACTTGGATATGGTCTCATGCTTACCATTTTTTTTTTTTTTTTGACAAATGCAATATTCTAAACTACTCTAATGTACGAGGGGGATCGAATTTGGGTGCAACTGGGCAGGCACACTACCTTGGTCAACTGGCCTAACCCACATATACTTTGTCTATTGATTGATTGACTTTATGGTATTGATTTCTCTACTAAAAAAATTTTGCTATAAGAAAACAAGAAAATCCGCCCTAAATACAATTCTCCCAAATTGGTTAGTATATGTTGCAATCAATTTATAGTTGTAATTGTTTGTGCTAATCTTAACTAACTATCTTGCAATATTTATAATAAGGGTGATGATTTTCCCACTCCCCTTTTTTCAGCTTACACTCCCTTTTGTTTTTTTAAATACTTTTTACTATAACATAAAAGCGAGTGTAAGTGAATAGAAGAGAGGTGGGAGCATACAATTTCTAACAAATGGAGTGTAAGTGGACAAAATGGGAGTGGGAAAAGCAGCTCCCTATAATAAAGGCAAATATATCATTAAAGGGCGCAAGTGTAAAGAGTCGAAGCTGGACTAGGAAAATCCAATGCAGCTAATATCAACCCAGAAACAACCAGCTAATTAAAATGCCATGGTAATAAAGCCTGCCCTCTAGATTTTCATCCCCAACTGGACCAACTTACATTCATACCAAAACCAAAGGTACAGAAATATAGGCGTTGTAATTCCAAAATCATCACCCTTTTCGAAAATTCATATATAGTATGTAATCAGCTATTATACGTTTCACATATGAGGCTCATTCATTAAGGCTCTTTTTTCAATGTGATAAACTTTGTGTAATTGCTATTATATATGCAGATTCCTTTTAGAAAGTAAAAAACAAAAATCAAAGCTGTCTTAATATGAAAGCACAAAACGAAAACTATGTGATTATTCAGTTTGCTCAGTTTTTTGTTATCGCAAGTTTTTCTTAGGCAGGCTCAAGAAGTTCCTCAATTCCTAAATGCACATACATAAAGTTCTCACAGGACCAAATCTGTCCAGAATCTCACTGCATTAAAAGTTCAAGTCCGTTCTCACTCCTTATAAACCCACTCTCAATTACACCATTTCCTCTAACCCAACTCTCTCTCTCTCGCTCTCTGTAGCTTTCTCGATCTCGTCTAAATTCCCTTGTTTTCATCGTCCAAAATCAATCACCATGTCAAACAGTGACTCTGAAGACAGCACGGCCAACTCTGGCCCGAAAGATCTCTTCAAATGCTGTCACTGTGACAAGGCTTTGGCCTCCGTTCAGGCCTTGGGTGGTCTCCAAAACGCCCACCGTGTGGTGAGGAATGTCATTGAAGCCCATACCAACAACTTCAGGCACACTGCTGAAGCTGGCCCGTCAGCCGCTGCTGCTGCTGTTGCCGGTGAGGTGCGTCCAGAGGTGAATGCAGGCGGAGCTTATTATCATCAGATAGTGTACCCTACTGCAGGCATAATGGCAGTTGCATGTGGTGATTATTTTGATGCCCAACCGAATGGAATGATTAGGGCAGAAGATCATGAGCCCAACAAGGCCCCAGAAGGTATTGTTAATGTCACAAGAGATTTTCTAGGGGAATGGAAATATAACAGTACTAATAGTGTTGGGTATAGTGCAGCTGCAGAGTCGGAGAGGTCTTCTGAGAGGACTTTGACTGACCCAATTTTTAGGGTTGGCCATGGAGAGTTTGCTCCAGAGGAAGATAGGGATGATGGTGAGGAGGAGGAGGAGGAGGTGACTTCGGAGAAGACAGAAGAGTTAAGCTTGGAGCTGAAGCTAGGATTTTGATTCTGAAGAGCTGCTATGGGGATCTCATTTATGTACAAAGGTGCTTAGAGTTGTTGGTATGGATTAATAAATGTCTGGAAATTATATTAGAGGTCTAAGTTTGAGTTATATATGCAATTATGAATTAATGTTACAAAGGTCTTAATATAAGTTTAAGTGCTTAGATTTGTTTAATGTTATGGACTATGCAATGCTCTAAGCATTCAAAAGCTTTGTTTAAATCTTTCTATATAGAGTTCATGTTGTTTAACTAGCCAAGAAAATGGTAACTAATACCTACAGGCTACATTTCTCATAGAGATGAGATATCCATTTTTTGTAGGACCTTTCCTATTGAGAGGGACAATAATATACTAAACTCATACACACTACACAGATATTAGGACTCAAACCCAGGACCTTGCCTGGATGAGCAATTGATTCAAACCACTACACTAGTGCGTTCTTTGCAGACATGAGATATCCATTTAATTATAATATAATTGTCAAATTAACAAATAAGAAATGGCCAACCAAGAAAAAATTGATTGAGTTCTATTTATGATTTCCAGCTTCAAACAGGAGATTAAGAGGAATTGAACCCTTTTTATCAGCTTTACCAAAAAATTTGGTGACTAAAGCCTTTAGTCACCCCCATATTAGTCACCAAATAATGGTGACTGTTGCCACTTTTTTTTTTTTTGTAGTGAGTGACCCATTTAACGTGGTATGTATTAGTTGCCCATGTAAACGTACTCTAAAATCATTACTCATGTTGCAAGATTCTTTATTAAAATATAATATTTTTTTACATTGACAATAACTTGTAGCTCAAGTAGTTATGAAAATTTACCCTTGCACTTGAGGTTCTGTATTTGGACCACACTCCTCCAATATCACATATATCAAAAAATAATAATAAGAATTTTACATCGAAGTAAATAGCTACTTACTAAATTATTCTGTTGATTAATACAATTACACTTGGCCAGAAGAATCAGAAAAAATTGATTAAAGAAGTTTTATCCTAAAAAAGGAAAAATAAATAAATAAAAATTTGGAATTGCAATTGTTGTTTGAAAAAGAAATTTTCAAATATATCATTTGCTGATAGTTTCTGTTTACTCTGCTCATCTGGAGCAGAAATCGAAGCAGATTTACGCCCAATCAGGTCTTTTTTTTTCCCACCCATTAATTTCAGACCCATGACAACAAGCAAACCACTGGTTGTTTGAGAAGAGAGAGACAGAGAGAGATTGTTTCCGTCACTTTCGTTAGGTCTACAGTGTCAATTTTTCTCTTCTTTCTGTGCAGGTGGTGGGCCCCAAAGAATCTGGGTGAACTAATTTCAATATGATTTAATTTCTTTCTTTTGCATTTTCTTTTTTCTTTTTTCTTTTTCAATCTAGATATTGGAAATAATTTCTTGTTTATAAGTGACCATAGATAATGGGTGATTTTCTTTTACTTCCTAACTTAAAATTTTATAAACTATTTAATACATAAAATCTCAATATTACAGTTTTCGAAAGCCAATATTTTTCTTCTCAAATGTATTCAAAAGCCATATGTGTTGTCCACTTGGCATAACATTTTGTTTAGGGATGGTTCTGCATATGCCTTCTAAATTTAAGACCAGACGTTTTTTTTCTTTAAATTCTAGAAAACCACGAATCATACTCTTCAAAAGCTGCTGTAAGAAATGCACTCCAGAGCTCAAATTAGTAATTTACTTATAGTTCAAGTGATTACGAGTAGTTATCTTTGCACTCGACATTTAGTAGTGAGTGTTTAGGCTTGAAGTCCCATCTTCCGACCACCCATGATTCCCATTCTCGGGTCATGGATCAGTTTTCTAGACCACTCATGGACAGTTTTCTAGTCCAACGTAGCCCATGAGCAGAAATCTACTGTCCTCCCTTCTATGAAAATATAAAATAAAATAAAAACAAATTCCAGATGAACACAACCCAATACAAGAATTTATCTCTATATATAAAGCAAAAGACAGAGAATGGTGAAACATTCAAAATACCAGAAAATACACTATATTAATTCAAACATTAAGAATTGAAATTATTAATTAAATGAGAATAATATGGTAAATTCACACTTTTTTTATTTAAAAAAATTAAAATTAACAGAAAAATCAAATAATGAATCCTATTTTTATGGAACACAACTACCCATCATCTTTTTTATTCTAAAATAAATTTAAAAATTTTATTAAAAAAAGCCTCTTGCAAGTGCGGAAACACGTGCGGAGAGGCTAGTTTTAATAAAACTTGACAACATTATAAAAAGGCACTTTTCTCTTTTTAGAGGCCACATGTTAAACTAATATTACCTGGGGAAAAATAGAGAACCCGAATCGTGTATATGTAGAATACATTTGAATCAGCACTGTGAAAAACGAAAAAAGAAAAGATCCCTAATTTGTTACAAACAAACAGTAAACCCTTGGCAAGAAAAAGGGAAAAGAAAACAAAAAGCCCTAATTTTGTATTATACACAAACAAGAAACCCTTGCCATACAAAACAAAACACACATTTTTACACCTCTCTCACTCTCTCTCAAACCAATCTTATTGAAAGCTCATTATTGTTGGATCATCTTGAATCCCCCTCACCATCCTCCAAAACCATCAGATCGTCGAGTCTCTTTTGTTGATTCTGAAGAATCAGTTTCGGTTCCTTGGGATTTTTACTCATGTTGCAAGATTCTTTATTAAAATATAATATTTTTTTACATTGACAATAACTTGTAGCTCAAGTAGTTATGAAAATTTACCCTTGCACTTGAGGTTCTGTATTTGGACCACACTCCTCCAATATCACATATATCAAAAAATAATAATAAGAATTTTACATCGAAGTAAATAGCTACTTACTAAATTATTCTGTTGATTAATACAATTACACTTGGCCAGAAGAATCAGAAAAAATTGATTAAAGAAGTTTTATCCTAAAAAAGGAAAAATAAATAAATAAAAATTTGGAATTGCAATTGTTGTTTGAAAAAGAAATTTTCAAATATATCATTTGCTGATAGTTTCTGTTTACTCTGCTCATCTGGAGCAGAAATCGAAGCAGATTTACGCCCAATCAGGTCTTTTTTTTTCCCACCCATTAATTTCAGACCCATGACAACAAGCAAACCACTGGTTGTTTGAGAAGAGAGAGACAGAGAGAGATTGTTTCCGTCACTTTCGTTAGGTCTACAGTGTCAATTTTTCTCTTCTTTCTGTGCAGGTGGTGGGCCCCAAAGAATCTGGGTGAACTAATTTCAATATGATTTAATTTCTTTCTTTTGCATTTTCTTTTTTCTTTTTTCTTTTTCAATCTAGATATTGGAAATAATTTCTTGTTTATAAGTGACCATAGATAATGGGTGATTTTCTTTTACTTCCTAACTTAAAATTTTATAAACTATTTAATACATAAAATCTCAATATTACAGTTTTCGAAAGCCAATATTTTTCTTCTCAAATGTATTCAAAAGCCATATGTGTTGTCCACTTGGCATAACATTTTGTTTAGGGATGGTTCTGCATATGCCTTCTAAATTTAAGACCAGACGTTTTTTTTCTTTAAATTCTAGAAAACCACGAATCATACTCTTCAAAAGCTGCTGTAAGAAATGCACTCCAGAGCTCAAATTAGTAATTTACTTATAGTTCAAGTGATTACGAGTAGTTATCTTTGCACTCGACATTTAGTAGTGAGTGTTTGGGCTTGAAGTCCCATCTTCCGACCACCCATGATTCCCATTCTCGGGTCATGGATCAGTTTTCTAGACCACTCATGGACAGTTTTCTAGTCCAACGTAGCCCATGAGCAGAAATCTACTGTCCTCCCTTCTATGAAAATATAAAATAAAATAAAAACAAATTCCAGATGAACACAACCCAATACAAGAATTTATCTCTATATATAAAGCAAAAGACAGAGAATGGTGAAACATTCAAAATACCAGAAAATACACTATATTAATTCAAACATTAAGAATTGAAATTATTAATTAAATGAGGATAATATGATAAATTCACACTTTTTTAATTTAAAAAAATTAAAATTAACAGAAAAATCAAATAATGAATCCTATTTTCATGGAACACAACTACCCATTATCTTTTTTATTCTAAAATAAATTTAAAAATTTTATTAAAAAAAGCCTCTTGCAAGCGCGGAAACACGTGCGGAGAGGCTAGTTTTAATAAAGCTTGACAACATTATAAAAAGGCACTTTTCTCTTTTTAGTGGCCACATGTTAAACTAATATTACCTGGGGAAAAATAGAGAACCCGAATCGTGTATATGTAGAATACATTTGAATCAGCACTGTGAAAAACGAAAAAAGAAAAGATCCCTAATTTGTTACAAACAAACAGTAAACCCTTGCCAAGAAAAAGGGAAAAGAAAACAAAAAGCCCTAATTTTGTATTATACACAAACAAGAAACCCTTGCCATACAAAACAAAACACACATTTTTACACCTCTCTCACTCTCTCTCAAACCAATCTTATTGAAAGCTCATTATTGTTGGATCATCTTGAATCCCCCTCACCATCCTCCAAAACCATCAGATCGTCGAGTCTCTTTTGTTGATTCCGAAGAATCAGTTTCGGTTCCTTGGGATTTTTTTAACTTGGCCACAAGAACCCACATGTTGGCAAGTTCATTTTCTAAGTAGGCTTCTCTTTGTTTGGATTCCTCAACCCTTCTTTGAAGCTCAGCCTCTCTTTTATCCTTCTCCATAAGAGCAGCCTCGTATGAATGCTCTCTCTCCTTACTCACTGCCAGTTCTCTCTTCATTTCTGAGACAAACGCACCTTGGTCCTGTTTGGCGTGACTCTCTCTCCGACCATTTCGGCCTGTGCTACTACTTCGACGTTGGGTGGGAGAGTTCTTAGATGCGGCCAGCTCAGCAGTTAGTTTCTCGTTATGGTTCATGAGTTTGGCAACTTCTTCTGATAATGCCTTGAGCTCAACAGCAGCAGCTGAGGCTAGACCTTTGGCATACGAACTCTCTTCCACCAGTTTCTGGTTCCGAACTTCTAAATGTTCTTTTGACTTGGTCAGTTCAGCCACCTTCTGCTGCAGTTCTTCCACCTAAGTGAGGGTAAAAAAGAAAAAGGAAAAGATAAAAAGGAGTAATTTAATAGAGATGTAGCTTGACAGTGTTGAAACTGATATATTAAAACATAAAATGAAACAAAATGGAAGAATAACAAGCTCATGAAATTGATCAGTGGTATTTTCCATGGGAATCCAGATCTTTTCGATGAAAATTTTCTTATCATAATTTAGTGCACTCCCAAATAAACTCTTAAAACAGAAAGTTCCACAGAAATAATCATTTTTTTCTTCTAAACATAGAGAGTTTCTGCATGCATCAACAGAATCAGTTACACTATGACTAATTGGTAACTGCAACCTATTTTGCAGCACCCAAGTCTTCCGTTTGTTTGGGGCAGTACAAAACTCAAATTTTCCAACTAAACAAACACTCAGAGACCAAAAGAGAAGGAAAACCTGCTTCTGTAGAAGGAAAATTTCATTTGTGTCATTCACCACTGCATGTTCTTTCTCTGTGCAAAGACCCTCATGCAATTTTGAATCAGTTTGAGAACTGACTATTGGGCTCAAATTTCTAGACTCTAGTGCCTCAGAGAGCTGCTGCTTCAATGAGGCAACTGTTTCCTGAAACCCTTTGCATTCAGAGACCTGGTAACAACGTAATATGAAGTCATGTGAGGCTCTGAACTCTGAAATCTTGTTGCAAGATAAAATTAACAAATAAATTTTATTAAACTGGTTCCTGTACCTTTTGTTCCAGCTGCTCTTGGATTATACGATTATCAGCAACTTTAACCTGGCATGAAAGTAATGATACAACAGTCAACAGAATAGACTGGGATTATAGTAGGACAACCCTCAGTAGAGCCCTAGGAAAACTTCATTTTCATTTTTCCATATATTTGATAGTGTAGTTGTACTTTGTATAATATCCAAAGTCTTGTAAACTGGAAACTGAAGTAACACTAATAAAGATATACCCAGAGAGGGTCATGCAAGTGGATATTTACGATGGGTTTTTTGGACATCCCATGGAACTCAAATGCTTCTATAGTGAGTCAATTGATCATGCAAGTCTCTTGCCCACGACATTAATTATCAAACAAAAATAATGTACAACTATAATCAATACAAAAGTATAGATATGATTGTAATGGACTGAATCCAATTATATGCCAGGGGGGTCAACTTGATGCTCCATATGATTTATTTTAGTGTTATTTATTTACTGTGCTATATTTTCTTGGATCAAGATGTAGTAAGTTATTATCACCTCAAGTTCGAAGGACTTCTCATTCAATTGTGCCATCACTTCAGCAAAAGACTGCAGCATAAACGACAAACAACATCAGTTTGACCTTGAAGACAGATTTTTTATGTTTCAAGAAAAAAAAGAGGTACAAGCTGACCCAACAGTATGGAAGTCCAAACTTACTTGGGATATTTCCAGTTGATCCAGTTTGTTGGGTGAAACAATGAAGGACTCCGCAATTTTCTTTTCCAGCAAAGCTATTTGTTCATTCTTCGCCTTGATTTCATCTTTTAAATTTCGCATCTCCATCTTCATTACAGAACAACCGTAAAATTGAAGGTTCCGGGAATATTAACAGCATTTGGAGACAAAGATGGTAAGGAAATAAGAGAATTACATTAATTCCATCCTTGTGGGGGTTTTTTGCTGCCTCCTCAGACAACCGCTTCAGAGCACTTGAATGGAGTGCTACCTCACCAGACAAGATTTTTTGCTGCTCCCTTAAAAGATCAATCTGATCAATTGATTTCGTGGTAGTCTGACAGTAGAAATGAATAAATGAATGAACGAATGAATCATAAAATTGAGAAATAAATTATATTTGGACCATACTTAGAATATCCCTCACATAATTTCTTAGCCTGTAAGTTTACAAGATTTGATATTTCACATACTGGCTCAAGTACAAGGTAACATTCTTTATGCAAAAGATCCACATACCAGAGGTGTTGCTTGTCCCAGGAAATTTTCCTGACCAACTTCTCTATCCTCTCTAGCCTCGGACAAAAGATCAGCAGATGGAGAACTCTCTGTCAGTAGAGAATGTGAAAGTCTGGATTCTGCATGAAAATTACCACTTTCTGCTTGAGGTGTTGACGGTGTACTAGTAGATTTTATTCCACTGGATCTATCGCTGGTGCTTGTCAAGGTCCCCGCACCACTATCACGTTTCTGACCAAGAATTGACAAAAGATGGAAAATAAATCTATAAAGAATACAAAAAGGTCTTGCAATGATAAATATATTGGGCTGTCAGGCAAGCAGCACAAGTTTGATTAACCAGTTCCTTCAGAAAAGCTGAAGGTTCAGACCATACTATGAAGTTCCTCATAGGATCCCATGCCATTTTAGTGGATCATTATGGGGTACTGGCTTTAAGGAAAAAAAGAAAAGAAGGAATATATACTTGGAAATTACAAGAATCAAAGGGATTTTCTTAAAAATTTATTTATTTAATGGAAATAACCCCAAGAAATTACAAGATCAACCTTCTAAAGCATGTAAGTTAAGGTATAAGTACATTGTCAAGAATATAATACATATGTGTCTCCATATATATTATATATAACAAAGGAACAGAACATTGAAACAAACACCTTAAACATCTATACTAATGACACACAACACAACCCCCCCCCAAAAAAAAAAAAAAAAAACAAAAACCCCCAAACCCTAAACAGAATAAAACTCAGCTTTAAGAGAGAGCCATTGAAACCAACACCTTAAACATCTATACTAATGACACCACCCCCCAAAAAATATTTCATATAAGACCATTACTCCAACCATAATCAAGGCACCTTAAGAAAGGACGAAATATTTCTACCAACCAAATGGCACATACCCGTAGCTTTAACCAGTTCAATAGTCCATGCTTCCCATCTATACTAATGACACACAACACACACCCCACCCCCCTAAAAAAACAAAAAACAAAAACCCCCAAACCCTAAACAGAATAAAACTCAGCTTTAAGAGAGAGCCATTGAAACCAACACCTTAAACATCTATACTAATGACACCACCCCCCAAAAAATATTTCATATAAGACCATTACTCCAACCATAATCAAGGCACCTTAAGAAAGGACGAAATATTTCTACCAACCAAATGGCACATACCCGTAGCTTTAACCAGTTCAATAGTCCATGCTTCCGAGTCTTCTTCTCCCCCTTCAGTCTATCTTCAGTAGTTTCAGTACTCCCCTCAAGAGGAGGAACAAACAAGTCAATGCTTTCATCATCTAAAATCAAGTCCCGCCTTTTGTATGGTAGGTATGCAAGCTGTAATTTTACACAAGTAGTTACACACATATCAAACAGAATAAGGAATAGGAAAAGAAAAAAGTCAACAAAAAAAAGCAACTAAATAAGCAAACAAAAAAAAAACTAGTCTATTCATCTAGCAGAGGGAAATCTTAGGAAAATTCAATCCGACCTCCTCTTCACCAAAGGAATGTCTTCTTCTAAGACTAGGTCGATGAGGAAACCTTGATGATTGTGTTGCTTTTGTCGAGACCAAAATCAACTTTGTCAGCCTTTGGATTCTTCCCAATAAAGCAGCTTTGGCTTCTTCTTCTTGTTCCAATCTTGATTGCAGTTTGAATTTACCATCTTCTAACTTCACACATTACATCACAGCAAACGAAGCAGTTCAAGTCATGCAACATTGACTATTCAGAAATATATAATGCATCAATACTGAGAACTGTTCATTAATTGAATGACAAAAGGTCTGTTGGTAATACCAGAGGACTGAACCCCATCTTTATCAAGGATGGGGCCCAAGATGGCTTTACGATTGATCCATAACAATAATTGAAGTGGATTTTAGAATATAAAAATAAATAAACAAATAAATCTCAAAACTAGTTATACATTCACACTTAATTTATAGGGTTGCGCCAACTGAGAAAACAGCTATTGTCTTTTTTCCTTTAGGTGTCTAAACCAATTTTAATCATGTTTTAGCATTTCATTCAAGTTTGATCTCTATGAAAGCGAGAGAGTTTTAGAATCAGAATATCACAAAAGTTGCAGACCCAGAAATAACCCTGAGACCAATCCAGAAGAGGAATTTGAATGCACCTTTTGTTTAAGGAGCAGAATATCATCTTCCCCAGCATCTTTTAGTTGAGGAATTGTAACGATACCCCTCTTCACCTGGTCTAACTCTTCCTTCAAACTACGTATCTCATTTTGATATTTCTTAATAAGTGACTTCTCATCAATAATCTGCAGGTACATAAAATTATGTGAGGAGAAACAAATGAAAATACTAACAGTTTAAAGAAAAGAGATAAAACAAGCATACCTTGTTTTGTGCTGCTTGAATTTCAATGTGTTTTGCTCGGTGTGCAAATTTCAACGTATTATGTGTCTCTTCTGAACTGCTTGATGAAGGAGTAACATTGCAGATGAGCTGTAATAGTAGACAACATAAATAATCAATTACAAAACTTTCTTCGCAATCAATATTGGTTCTGCCACAAAGATGCATTGAAATAATAACCTTCATGCAGATAAATGGAATAGAGGAGGAACCATAAAGACAGGGGTAGCCTTACAGATACACGCCCATGACCACTTAGCGAAGATTGAAGAAGTCTGGTTAATTTAGAATCCCTGTATGGTATATGAGTTGCCCTTGCATCTGTCAACTTTGATATAACCTGCGTCAACAGAAGTTAAAATATTCTGAAATAAGTATATCATATAAGATAAACAATTACAGGGAAAAGGACAATCTAATACGATATTTCAAACTTCTTGGCTTAAAACAACGCTTGAGGCCTCACAGTTCCTAGAGTTAGCAGACTTTTATTTATATAGGATCCTTCTTTTCGCCTGACACCAGTAGTTTCAGCTTTCGAGCTCTCAGAACCTGCCAGATCGATGAGGTTCTGCACATACAAGTTAGATATGAAAGATCCATGAGAAAATCGTAAATATTGAACAAAAAAAAGCAGAATAGTTCACAATTGTAACCAAGAAATATAGCAAACCAGTCGTTTGTAACTAAGAAAGATAACAAACAAGTAATTGAAGTCAGTCCTTAGTGTTGAATACTTACCAATTGTGACAGACTTACAGCTTCGCCTTCACTATTTTCCCCACATGGGCTACTCTCTATTGTCTGTTAACAAAGTAGTCATACAAACATATTAAGTCATGTGCAGGTTTGTCCGTGTCAAGAAAACAATAGAAGAGAAATTAAAGGTAAGATACCACAAAAAGAAATTGAAATTATTAGCGAAAGAATTACAAAAAACAATCAAGATTACAATATGCTATATTAAGATAAGGGAAACACACCAGTGTAAATATCGTGTGGCTCCGGCTACTGAGTAAATTGAAATTTGTCGATCCAACATGCCTGTGCTCTGTTGGCAACAATTAAAATTCCATCACAAAGTGAAACAAGATTCGTGAAAGGAAAACGAGAAGTTAAAATTGACAAGAACCAATAGCATCTGGTCGACTACACAAATAAACAAGATTTTGGATAATAAGAAACTCCCATAATCACAAAATATCATTAATGTTCTTTTACCTTCTCCAGCTGCTATAAGTGAAAGGGCGTGAGCTGGGGATAGTACAACTTCTTCCTTTGTTCCTTCAACAAAGGTGCCCTACAGCCATCAATTAAGCAATTAACAAGACATTCTTAACAGTTTGGAAATGCCAGCTTTGACAAAGTAACTAGCCACATAATCATAAGTAAATATTCTGATTGTAACAGACTCCATACAAAAGTTAACAAAAAGATATTGTGTGGCGTCTTCAGTCATGCAGGAATTGTCAAAAACTCTAAGAACCAGGTACCTGCCTTAGACTGCAGGTAATAGGAATGTATCTTGGACCATGAATCAGTGATTGTATTTCTACACCATATATTGTCTACACTTCAAGTCATTGCCTAAAGCTCAAGAGGATGAGATTTCATCTCTATCTTACCTTGGATATTAAATGCATCATGAAGTGTAAAATCATGAGATTAATGATGTGATTGAAGCATTTGAAACAATGGCAGTAACCATCGTTATTTGCATAACAGTAATTTATGAAGATGATCGTAAGATCACAAAATGAGTAAAGCACCTGAGCATCCTCTCTAATTCGTAAATTCTGTCCTGCTGGATTCAACAAGTCATTAACAACCTGAAATGAAAGAAACCTTAAAAGGGTAATATAGTAAATTTAAAGGTACAAGCATCACTGATGCTAGTATAAAGTTAAACAGTGCATCCAGAAAACTTGAAATCAAGAACAATCTCCAAATAGCAACAGCCAATAAGAGATTCATAAGTATGCTATAGAGAAAATAGGAGTGTAAAAAGTCTTACCTCATTATAAATCTCCAAGTATGACACACGAAGAAGAAACTCTCGATTTGGAGTCTGGAGAATAGACAGATATCATAATATGTAGTTTCTCTAATAAATAAAAAACCCACAGATGTTATGTTACATTAAGAAGTTAGTATCGCAAATAAAGTACCTCCTGGATGATGCTAAAAGCATCCTTCACAGCCAGTGGTATAATTCCAGGCGACCTCTGATCACCCTGAAATTTGTAGGAGAAAGCATATTGATAATCATAATGGATCCAAGCACATTAATACCTAATCTCACGACAAAGCACAATGTATGTTACTTCTATGAAAAACTATGAAGAAATAGAGGTGCCCGATGAATGCATATTAACCAGTTATACTCTGTATAAGAATATGATGAGAATCTCACATGCATAGTGTGAGTCTTCCCGCTGCTGGTCACCCCATATGCAAAAATTGTACCTGGCATGGAAGGAAATCATAAGCCATATATATAAGCACTACACTATGTCATATCTACAACTTAGATATATCTGAATAGTGAATACCAAAGAAAGAGTATAACTCCCTCAAATTTTAGTGCAAACTGCTAATAACTTCAATTGCTAGAGCAACAAGTTGCCGAACCCATTCAAACTACCAGTGCTCAAGTTACCCTTGGCGGGCAGAGGTTCTTACTCTTGACAGTCAAAGCATTGGGTGCCTAGGAAACAAAACAGATGGCAGAACCAGGATGGCTTGTTCAGCCAAATAGGTTCTCTAGTCATATTCACATAGCTTTACAAAGAGAAGATCCCAAAGTTTTCTAGATGGTCAACAAAACTGTGTAGACCAAGAATGCGAAGGGATTGATCATCTTATGGTTCCTAGAGTTCACCCAGAACTAGTGGTCCCAGCTTTTCCTTATGCAACAGACCATTAGGTCCCAAGATTCTATTATCATCATTCACTACACACCAATTTACAACTATACTTCAGCCAGTGAGCATTAACAATGCACTCTCCAACCTATAGCATTGTTCAAAAAGGTCCAGCAACCTAGTCAAAAAGAATTTAGGATGAGGGAAGCTCGAAGTCCTTGGAATGTTATTGAAATGAGTGGCTGAGGAAAGAATTCATCATATGACGTTAATTGAAATGGAGAACAAGTGGCCCAATTGATTTACACTTTTTTCATGGCTTCATGCATGCAAGGGTTATATCACTTCTTGCAATGTAATCAAGCCATGCTTGGTGAAAATAGAAAGGGAAAAAGTAAACGCAAAGGCCAAATGGACTTCATAACTGGCACTCCTATAAGATAATTCATCAAACTTATATCTAAAAAGTAGGTGCTGTAATTAATTTGATAATGTAAAGGAAACAAAAGCAAACGGAAAATATGTTCAACCTACAGTTGATCCAGCAAGAAAGGAACGACTCTTAAAATATAGTCTATACAAATGTATACAAGAAAGCTTTACTGTTTTTTTAGTAACCCAATTACTATCCAATTTGTCCCAAAATTATTAGAAATATAACTATCAAGAGCTATATGAATCAGGTTGTGACGGGACCACACAATAATATCAGATCTCGAAAAGTCAAACTTCCAGTGTAATTTGTGAAGCTGAATCCAAATAGTTGGGGTACAATTTTTGGTTTCAATACGTTGAAAATTAATTGTTCATTGGCCATCTTTTATAACTGGAAAAAAGCAAAGCTGATCAAACTACACTTCAGATAAATTTCAGGACATGAAATCAAGCTGCAAACAATGCAGAAATTTAAGTTCATCAAACCAAGAAGTCAAAGCTATTTACCATTGACACCTTCCATAGCACCACTAATAACATGCTGAGCAGCAACATCATAGACATGGCGTGTTGTGGTGGTAGGGCCAAACACCCTATCTAGAAGCATAGAATAAAGAAACCATGAGACAAAATACAAGGTTCAACCAAAAATTAACTTTTGTGAGTTTTATGTTCAATGCATTGGATAAAATATTTCCCTAACAAGATATGAAATATTACATTTTTTCTTATGGGAAATCATAAACTTCTACTAAATTAAGGATAAAACTATTCTGCATTGACTTCTGATGTGCTATGGCCTTTATCATATAGAGTTATTCTCTGGCAAGGACCTGTTTCTTATATATGGATGACTAAGATGCAAAGTGAGTAAGATCTCAATTCATCTCAGTCATCCATATCTAGTGTAATGGATAAAAACCAAGTCATTATTTAGCAATCTTATTAAAATTAACTAGATGAATATAGTTTATGGGCAAATTCATTAGACCTCATTAAGCTTTGATTTACTATTTTCTTCCTCTACACAAGCTCAATAAATAAAGAGAATGCAAGACTATTTGTTTAATGGAAAATAGATAAATACCGTATGCATAAGCTATTGATGGATTATGCTCATTCCGCACAATAGTGTCTCCATCTGCATACCATGCAATTTCTTCTCCTTGGCGAATTTCCCTCGGGCTACACCAGACATAGACAAGAACCAACAGCTGACTTATTAAGTACTCATGGAACTTTGTAAGTGAAATACAATTCATACTAGTGAAATGAACCTGAGTGGACGAAAGCGGACCGTCACTGTGACATTTTCTTTTGATCTTTCCACATCTTGCGGCACACTTTCTGAGTACAAGTACTGTGGCTTACTTCGAGCTGAAGAAGATGCAGGAGAGCTCTGAGCTTCAATAGATGTTTCCAAATATTGTTTTGAAGACGATGTAGTCGAAGATGCAGGAGAATTAGCAGCTCTTGAACCGAATTTTTTTGACCTTGGTCCATGTTTTGATGCCATTACCGCTCGAAGTCAATCCTTCAATACATCGACTACAAATTCTACTTCAGCATAAATCAGCGACAACGTCAGCTTCTGAACTTTTCAATATGTTAACATCTTCTTAGGCTTGGTGGGTTAAAGAGAAATGCAGGCAGAAATAACCATCTAAACTTTGGACCAAAATATATATACATATATTGTTCTAATGCCATACTTTAACTCTGACACCAGAAGTAAGTTCAAAATCAACCAAATTGAAGTAACAAGTTCAATTTTTGAGTACTTCCACTAAGCACTAAGCATACTCTAGCACTGTTTTTGGTTGCCAAGAAAACTGTGGGGAAAATGATTGTGGCATGAAGGGTGTAGTAGTTCGAATTGTAGAGAGGAAAACAACGGAATACTAGAAAACCAACTATATCCAACTACTCCTTGGATTAGTTAAGTTTACCTCACCTCGAAGAACGGAATACTAAAAAACCAACTATATCCAACTACTCCTTGGATTAGTTAACTTTACCTCACCTCGCCCTTTTTTTGCTAATATATAAATGTAGCAAAAATATAAATGTCAAAAATCAAAATTCTATGTTACCCTACTTTCCTCATTTTCTCAGCAACCAAACAACGAGTAAGGCAATGAGCAAATGCAGAAAATTAGGTAAAGGAAGAGAACAAGTCCCCATTAAATTGCAGAAAATTACATCTTCTTAACCCATTGTTACGTTGCTAAGAAAACAGCAAAGAGATTAAGTACAAATACAACTAACCCAAATTCCAGCTTCCAAATTCCAAAGCACTGAAAAACTAAACAGAGCAGCAGAGTCGTTACCTGCAAACGCAATCAGAGGAGCATTGCATGCACCAAATGGAGAAAAGTGGGGAGAAAGCGAGCTTTATATCACAGAGATCTTCTCAGAAGTCGGAAAGAGACGGATCTGAGAGACGCTTGCTCTGTGCGAGTGAGTGAGGGACCAAGAGAGAGAGAGAGAGATATCTGAGCTATTTTTTTTCTATATTTTGTAATAAATAAAATGGAGCCTTTCTTGCTTGCCTTGGAAGCGATGCCTTTGATCAAAGGCAATCAGCATTTCTCAATCCAACTTTTTTGCAGAGAAAGTAAGAGAGACTCATACATACATAAACGGCATAAACATACACCACCTATAGTTATAGAGAGAGAAAGTGAAGGAAGAAAGGAAAAGAAAAAGGAAAGAAAGTGGTTAGAGAGAGAGTGAATTTGGTACAGTAGCTGTATCTTAGTGAAAGGCTGGCTGTAATGGTGGTGGGGCTATGTTTTTTTCTTTTTTTCATTATTTATTTATTTATTTATTTATTTAAGAGGGCAGAGAGAGAGACTCATCAGAGAGTCAAGATATCACAGGAGTTGTGTGCGATGAGGGGGTGGGGCCCAAGGGGTAAATTAGACGAAGACGAGAAAACGACGTCGTATGTCGGATGTCAAGACCTGTGAACCTTCGTCCGTTGTTTGACACGTATTTATCATTGGTAGTACATGACAATTCTGCCCGCTACAAAAATGTCTTGTGGTGATAATTTGATTATGTTTTGTTTTTTTGTTTCAATTCTAATCATCAACATCGTCATCATCATAATTTAAGGCCTCGGGATCTTAAGGTACCATTTTTTATGATGATTAACTAAACCTTTTTTTTATTTCACCGGCTTGTAATTTTCCTCAATAACTAACTTTTAATATTATGTACTTGCATTTTTTTTTATTTTTACAAGAATAAAGATTGTAACATTATAGTGAAACTTGAAGACTAAGACGGACTAAGCTAAAGCTTTCGATGCAGATACTCTCCACACGCCCCTTTACGTGTTTATTTTTTACACATAACATAGAAGAAATCAGATGAAGATGAAGATGATCGAAGAAAGAGAGAGAGAGAGAGAGAGAGAGAAATTTTTGAAGAGAAGAACAAGATCAGTGTAATATTGATCGAGTAAAATTTGTATCTCGTTACAATGCTTAAAGCTTAAGTAAGTACTTATATATATGCTAAGCTTAGATAAGTAAGTTGAGTAACAAACTAACCTCCTAACTGAAATTTGGCATGACTAAGCGTATGGCTAATCTAATTGTACATAAATTAATTTCTTAACTAATTATTAGGTAAACAAATTATTCTTATTGAATGATTTTCTGTCTTCACAAATGAAAAATTAATTATTTCAACCTCCAACTTCTCCTTGAAGAAATTTCAATCAATTTCAACCTGCATTAGTGTGGTCATAATGCACATGTTTGTGTGCAATCTCAGTAGCAATCTTATTATCGCAACATAGTCTTATAGCTTTCCCATACTTGAATCCCAAGTCTTTTCAATAAGTTCGTGAGCTAAAGTGATTCGCAAACATCACGAGCCATACTTCTATACTCAGCTTCAACACTAGATTTGCAATCACCTTTTGTTTTTCGCTTCTTCAAGTGATAAGATTATCATACATAAAAAAACGTAAAGTATTTAGAAGTAGAATGCATATCCGTAATCGAAACCAGTCCAATTCGCATCGGTAAAGCCTTCGCATCTACACGATGACGTTCGGAAAAAAATGAGTGAGACTATTGTTGTTCTTGATGGTATGTGGTACGTGCCTTCTTTACACATAACAACTTTCTCTATACAAATGACACATCCCAATGCAATTATTGAGTGGGAGCAGCTGCCCCCACTGGGCCTTAGCTGCCTCCGTCCTACTCCTCCGTACCTAATTCATATGGAAGCTAACAAAACCTGTCAAATGTAAAAATAAAGGGAAGAAGATGGTTGAAGGTAATTATGAATCTTCAACCCGTGCAATTCGTTTCATTATAGCATGAAAAGCTATACTTTATTCAAGCCTTCCTCATTACGAGCTGACATTACACACGTCTATACGTTTTTTTTTAAAAATATCTGACGCTTCTAAAAAATAAAGTAAAATATATTTATATTTATAAAAAAAAAACGTAAAAGAGTCATTAAAAGATAGACATTAGACATTTTAGTATGAATGCCTCAATCCAAACTTTTTTATATTCCAACCCCATTTTAGTTCTGAGTATTTAAACGTGTAATGAAGTAAGAAATTTGTAGCTTAAATGATTAAGATTAGTTACTCATGCATTTGAATATCGTTTGCATTAACAAAACGTGCATAAAGAAGACTTATATTTTGGTGGTTTTGATTCGATTTTTGAGAAGCTTTAGGGATTAAGAATATTTACTCCTATATTTAAATTGTTACGAATTCGAATCCCTCTTATCTTGAAAAATATCAATTGATTGGAAGACAATATCTTATTATCCAAAAGGATAGAAGAAGAGGCTAATAAAATGTTTTCCGCGAGCAGTTGAGAAAGACTGGTGTGGCAAACCTACAAAAGATGTTCTGTTTTTTTTTTTTTTCAGGTCATAACCAACACAAGATGTTCATGAGCTGGCTTTTTGGTATTTGGAAATAAAAGTTTAGGTAAAGTAGAATATTAAAATACACAAAGATTGTCTGAACAAGGAATTAAAAAAAAAAGGTGTCTTCTTTGTGTTCAACCCCGAAAAAGTTTAAATACAAAAAGAAACTAGAAAAAAAAAAATATATATCTGGGGTCAACACATGAGGCCAACCATCTTTCTCGATTATGTTAGAGGAGAAGGAGATGTCAACCATCTCTCCTTTCTACATAAATTCTCATTTTAAAATAATTAATAGCAAGTTGTTGTAGTTGAGTAAGCAATTGAATACGCCTTCAATGTTTGATTAAGAATCTTTAATAAAGGTTGGATGGAATAATTAATAATGATGGCTGCAGATTAAATTAATAATGACAACTTAATATATTAGCTGCCATTATGAATTATGTTGGGTGAGTGTGTGTTCAAAAATTATTTCGTAGTCGAAATACAAAATGCACTAAAGTTTAACAGGTGTGAGTTATGTCAGTTGGTTAGAGCAGTGCGTTCACTCATTCGCACTTGAGTTCGAAATCCCCAATCGTAAATTAGATTAATTAAGACCAAGTTGATCTTAACCCACCATCAGCCTTATCCAATTAAAGTTTGTTGGTTATTTATGACTTCCACATTGGATTTCTTTATGGTTTCAATGAGAGGATTTGTATTGGTATTGTTCTATCTACTCCCAAAAGCCTGTCCAGTGTCAACCAACCACTCATTGAAACTAAAGTTTTTCTTTTTCTTTTTCTTTTTTCCTGGGGATGCTTTACATTTTTTATTTTATTCATAAAAATGTTTTAATATTTTGTTCTCTCTCCCATCATAGGATTCTTATTAAACTATGTTCCATCATTCCATGCACCCAAAAAAAGCCAAAATCGGAAAGCAGTCCAACTTTTGTTTTTCTCCTCCAGCTCTAGGTAGGAGCTTCATTTAATTTGTCGTTGGAAGCTCTACTTCATCTTCGTGTTGGGCCACAACATAAATTTACTACTAGGAAAGAGCTGTCTTTTTATTCTGTGTTGAAAGCTCCACTTCCTCTACCTCATGGTGGCCGATTTAGAAAATAAAAAGAGTATTTTCACGAATGATAGAGTATTGGATGTCCAATTAGACACATGTGCAAAGTAAAGAGATAAATGCTCTTAACCACTTGAATTTAAAATCCGTTACTAAATTATAAGTCATGTTAATCGGTCACTGATCGATCGGCATGACTCATGAGGTCCGCTATACCGGATCCGGGCTGGAGCACGAAGGGTTGAGCAACTGTACAAGTGCGGTGGGCTGGAGCACTGGGCCGATTGACGATGCTCTAACCAAAGGCCCACCTAATTCCAGCTAAAGATTATAGCGATACAGCCCACCGACCACGTGGCAGTCGACTGGGCCGCCTGTGATGCACTGTCCATGAACCACCAGTGAATCAGCACAACAAACCCGCAGTTCGTTGACGCCTGACACGACTGTTAGGTTGTTCGGTACCTTCCTTCCAGTCCCTAAACACAGTCACAGTCCGAGTCTCTGAGATCTTCGCCTTCTCTGTTAATCGTCCGTACAATCACCCAAAACTCCCGATGGTCAATTTACCAGGTAACTTCTTTTGCCTCCTCCTTTTTCTTCTTCTTCTTGTGAAATTTTGCGTAAATTGGAAAAATCAATTAGAACGAAGTGAATTTAGGGTTTAAATGAGGATTCGAATTATTGATTAATGTTATTTAGTACATTGTTAGCTCAGCTCGTGCATTTTCAATGCTTCGAGTTTTTCGTATTATCAATTGTGTTTAATTTTTCGCAGTACGGTGGATATGAAAGAGAGGAACTCTACATCCACGCTTAAACGCATTTTAGTGACTTGTGCAGCACAGGTTCTGTCTCTGTCTTTTGGTCAATTTTGATTAAATTGTATACGGGAATGAATTTTGATGTATCTTCTTTTTGTGGTCTGAGAATAAATTTTGATCCAAGAAGGTGTATTTTGCGCGTTCTTTGATGGTTTTGTGGTTGAGTTGTTGATTGGGGATATTTGATTTAAGTTTACGATAGTAAGAGATTGGGAGGAGCTGTACAAAGACTTGTTCCTGGGAATTTAAACAAGGTTTTAAATTTGGGTCGAGAAGATGTGGCCTTAGATTTTTGATGCGTGGGAAGTTTCTGCGTAATCCGATTAAATGAAATTGTTAAAGAATAGAGTATGATATATAATTTAAAATGTTAACATTATGTAGAGTTCTACTTAATTCGATTAAATGGAATTGTTAAAGAGTGGACTATAGGCTGGAGAGATTATGTTGTGGAATCGAATAAGTAATTTAATGTTGCATAGATGTATTCTTATCATGTGGACTATGGGGAGATATTGGTGAAGGTAGAAATCGAGTTCCTGAACTTTGACATCATGTTCATCTAGAAGAAGACAGAATATGTGTATAGTACACTATTTCTTTTGTTGGTTAATATGTATATGTGAAAAAAAAAAGTTTATGCAGATGGTTTAAACAATATTCTCTAGGAGCTGCCCGTAGACAAAACCTTGGAATCTGCATGGTGCGTTGTGCATAATTTAAAATTGATCTCTTCCTTGTAGGCAAAAGAATATGGGGGTTGTGTTGCAGCAAAGGTTCCACAAGTTGAACGTGATATGTGCTTGAAAGAATTTCTTGCATTAAAGAGTTGCATGCAAAACGTGGTACGATTTCATAATTAATGACAGATATGTCAGTGTATGGCAGCTTTGTATTTGTCATGTTCTTGGAAAATTGCTTTTGAGTCTGCTTTTTTGCTTCTAAATAGC